AAAAAAAAAAAAAAAAAAGAGATGAATCATAGCCCTGAGGACATGGTTTAAACCTGTGTGTCTTGGTGTTCCCTTTCAGGACACGTCAGATTGGCCTTGCTCCAGCCACTCTAACAGTAGCTATGGAAACCACAAATTAATTCCTGCCAGCTCCCTACATGAGTAACGAGGCTGTATATTTAAGAGGGATGGAACAACGCCTACTCCAAGCACCTAAAATCACATGATTTGCTCAGAAGAGAACAGGAGCAGCAATAAAGGTAAATTGTTTTTGCTAATGCTATAATTAGAATGTCTGTTTCTGTATGAATTCTAGAAAAATGGGTTCCTTGCAAGTCCCTGCTACCATTCTGATAACAGCACTTTGGCTTTAATCTGTTAAGGTTTTTGGTTTGCTTTGCTTTTTAAAGTCTCTAAAGCAGTGAGCCACTAAATTAAAAGTACACTTTGGCCAGTCTCCAACACCTGATCTTTCTTCCCTTTCTCCATGTATGACTCAGATTAACTAATGTTAGAGAAAACAACAGATTAAAACTCACCATCGATAGCCAAGGGGTCCTGGGAGGCAAAAAGAGAAACAAAACAAAATATTATAAAGAGCCAGTGATAAAAAACAGTCCTCCAGGCCTAGCATAGTGCCTCAGCCCTGTATTTAACCCACCCAAACCAGAACAAGGTCTATCCCACCAGCCTGGGATAGACCTGAGGCACAGCCACCAAGGGCAGCTGAACACAAGAGACAATCCATAATATAGCAGTAAAGAAGCAACAGCACCAAAACATACTGTACCAAGCAGCTCACTCCTCATCTTGCCCGTGCAACGAGCCTTTGTCTGCAGATGAACTGTTTTAGTAGCTGGGGTTCTCTCTTTGGTTGTTGTAGGGGTACGTCCAGGGGCCAAGAACTGATTTGCCAGAGCCTTTTCAGTTGATGAAGACTGTGATAGTAGGAAAAAGCCATGAAAAGTCATGAATATCAGATTCTGCAGCCAGGCCACCTGGATGTGTGGCCAGCAAGGATGCAGGGAGCACTTCCAATGTTCCTTCCCTCAGAACAGCAAAGCCAGTCTGAACTACAGCACTGATTGTACCCGCAGTAATTGTGGCTCTGCTTACTGGTATTTTATAACTCTCCAGAGGCAAGTGTTACCACCCAAAAGAGATGCCAGGCTTAACAGACACTACCAGCCTCTGTATCTCACATCAAAGAAGTGAGAAGGATGTAGTGAAGATGCACTTTGCTTTTTAAAAGGAGGAAAGAAGTCTCAGACTTCATATACTACCCTTTATTAACAAAATACAAAAAATCCAATACAGTTACTCTCATTTTTACAAGTCCTGCCTGATAGGATTTTAACAAGTGTTATTTTGAGCCGTAAGATAAAAGTAAATAGAGGAACCAGGCAACAGTGTGAATACAAAGGGATAAAACTTCTTTTAAAGGTGAACTAACAGATCTTACCAACTTTTCAGCTTCCAAAAGCCCCTTCAGAAAGTCCACTTTGCGAGAGTATTCGTTCAAAAGCTCTGGGGCAGGCTTGCTGGTGGAAAAAAACAGAAATTATTATTCTCTTCCTGTTC